TCAAAGATAAAGCGAAGTACTTGTATACACAAGTGGGCATCATGTCCTGCACAACTGATCTACTAACCAATCCCAACCTAATCTAACCCAACCTAACCTAACCTAACCCAACTCTACGTAAATCATGGTTGCAAACGCTATCACTAGGATCGAATTTTGAAAAAAGAGAACGGTTAGACGGAAATTCTTGAAACTTTGCGTGAATGTTGTGCGACGTAAAATTTAATGAAAAAATTAGTCCTTGATTTAATATGCCGTGTGATTCAGATGCATGATAACGTCAAAGTCGCGAGGTAGAGTTTCGGGGCCTCCGCAAGCCAAAATCTTACTTGACCTGACTATGTAAAACGATGCGTATTTGCATATACGAACTACTGAGTATGTTTCTGTAATCTGCTCGTTAACGGGGAAATAATGGTCAAGAAATAAAACACAGCTGTTAAATAAGAATCCTAAAATCGTCATTGCTTTCTACGCAACCAGTCTCGGTTATACTGGAATAATTTTTAAAAGTACTCTCGTCACATACGTACGTAAGAAATGTGTTGCTCGTATGTTTTTCTTTAATAGTTCCAATGTTGGCATGATGATGTCGTATCGCTCCGGTTCCTTATATCGATTGCCAAGCGACCTTGCTTATCAACGACGAAAAGTGAATACGCATTCGTGCCACCTGCCGGAATTCACACGTAACACACTATTGATAAACTTGAAGGGTCTTGATTCTGTGAGTTTTTATGTGTATGTGATCAATGTCATGACGTCAGTGAAAGTCAATCAGTATTGATTTCATACATCACGATGTAATACGTCGGTGATGATAACTCTTAGGAAATCTCGCTCGTAGCAAACGTGAAAGTTCTCAATATTTTTATTAAATGAATTGGGGTTCAGAAGACTTATCGTGCTTGAAGAACGAAGAAAGATACGTGTTACGTGTGCATGCAAGACTGTTATTTAATGTGCATTCAACGAACGAATATGCTTAGTGTTACGTGAGCAAAATGGCGTATAGTCAGCTGATTTGTTTACAGCTTAGTTTTGGTGAATTAATAGTTGGCGATAAATGTCGTTATCTTCCTGCAGTGTGTGATACAAATATTTATGTGTGATAAGAAAATATTACTTTTATTATTTATTGAAAGGCGTATGACTCGGAGACTGCACTGTGCTGCAATATCGACGAGAAGATGACTAACATGAAATTTCGTACACATTATGAAGAGATGTGATCCTGTAATACGTGTATCAACATTGCAAAATAAATAAATATCTGATTACACAAATAAATATTTTGGTGTGTAACGTCAAGGTATATAAAGCGATTGAGAGACCACAATAAGTTACCGATGTCCTTTTGAAAATGACGGAAGTTAGGTATTACTGATGGCTGTCATCGGCTTAAACGCATTTAACAAGGCAATCTAAACTACTATTTGATTACATACATAAAGTATGGAAGTTTCAAGAGAAATGAAGAATATTTCAAATGTAAGTAAATTTTTAGATGTTATATTTTCCGTAAAATTTCAGAATTCAGTAATGCCAACAACATGCCTCAAAGATAAGGGGAAGTAAATGTACGCCCAAGTGCTCAGATGACCCATTAATCTAACCTAGCTTAAAGTAACTCTACGTATATCAGGGGTGCCAACGCAATGACGACTGACGTCATTAGGATCTAATTTTGAAGTAGGAGGGTGAATGGACTGAAATTCTTGAAATTTCACAAGGATCTTTCTGCCATGTCAGGTTTCATGAGAAACGTAGCCCTTGTTTTTATACGCCGATATGAAGCTTTTTACTCTAGGCTACTTATTTTTTTTAATTATATTTTATTACGCTTCTTAATTGCGTTGTTGTAAATTAATCTTTTCTAAATGTTCATCCAACTCCTGCTTAAATTTTCTTTACCTTTATTGCATTGGTTTCGTTACCATTTTATCTATTATTTTATAATCTTTGAAATCTTATAATGTATATTTATTAATTTAATATTTTACTTGTTTCATTCTGTGCTTCCCAAGTGTCGTACCAACTGTCAGTGCAGAAACTTTAATTTATAAAGTATATTCTTTTATTACGTTTCGTGGCAGAGAATACTGATTTCTCAGATGATGTTGTGGCCTCTGTTGGCCGTGGTGTGGTTATTAACAGGACTCTCGTCGCTTGACAGTTCGAAGCTTTAATTACACTGTGTTAGACTTCCAGGTGTACTGTAGTCATAGTGAAGATCGCCTGAGTACGATACGGAAAACAAATCTGATTCTCAGACAGAAACTATGAATGTCATATCTGTGTGTCTGAATAAGGACTTTACTTCCTTGAGGGCGCTAGTGTTTGTTTAATTCGTACTTTGATCCTTCAAGGGAGTAGAAAAGACAGTGTACAGTGATGAAGAAGATCTCAGCAATTTTGTGGGCCTACCAAATCAATTCCTTTTTACATAGGTTTGTAACCTATGCAAATCTTAACACCTCATATCATCTGATAAAATTCTTCAGTTTGTGAACTAACCATTCTTTTCGTGAGGGAAGTTATGCATCCTTGTGCTGCTAAATTACACATTTAAATATTATGAATTGATGGAAAGAATCCATTGATGTATTCATCGCTTCAAAGTAGTCAATTCGTTATGGCATTCAGAAATTCAGCCGCACACACACGCAAGAACACACTGGAGCAGAAGGAAGCTATTGATTTGGTATTCTGAACAGTGGAAGAAGGTCGCAACAAGCAAAGAAGACGAGAGTTTTGTCAAGGAATTTGCGTACCAAATTTTGAGGTGATCCGATTAGGCTCCTAGGTCTAACAATCCCAGTAGACGAGGAACGTGTAAGAGAAAGACAATGTAGAAGTCGAGTTTGGAATTTCAGTAGGACGAGAAGAAAAATAAGAAAGCCGAATGTTTAGAAGGGCTTTTCCATTGAACCATTTATTGAAGTTTCGATTTAAAAACCTGCTCCTTTAATGACATCCTCAGAGCATTGACCATCGTACGGATACGAGAATTCAATACCGTATGCCCTTTTATTGGAAAGCAGAAGCTCCTGACAATACGAGAAACGGAGAAGCTTTCAGGAATTATGTCACGGAAACGTTGCCATATATTTCTTTCGTTTGAATGGCTAGACTGAAAGCTATCTTTAGCACCTATCATGACAACCCGGTGTAAAAGGTTCATGGTTCTTGACTTCTTGAAAAGGCACTTATACCGTGGATGGTATCACAGTATACACCAAGACATTGCAAGAAAATAATAGGTCTATAAAACTGCCAGGCTTTTTATTCATTGGAATAACTTGGAATGTTTTGAAGCGAAGAAGAATTTAGGAAACTGGAACAAAACAAAAAATAAACTTCATGACATGTTGTACAGAATGTGAGAGATGCAGTAAACAACTTACCGCTGATTGGTGTGTTTAGCATTCGCATCTAATTGTTAGACGTCACAGCTTTCGCTGTATATTTGTTTATAAGTTTTCAAAAGTTCGTATTTGTTTCTAGAGTACAGGTTTGCGTCCTATTTAATTAAGATTTACTTTATTATCATCGGGTTCTCGAATAAAGAAATCCTTGAAAGGTTGTAGTAAACCTTAGTAAACTGAAGATTTCTGTCTTCTGGGTTGTTGCGCTGTGTAGTCTGGTAGAAGTCAACAAACGTTTCAGAGGTCCTTGCTTCCTCCATCATCAGGGCGATGTTTCAAAACAATGAGGAAAGTTTCAGGTTCTCACGTCGACGAGTATGAAGATGCGTCTCTTGTGAGATGTCGCGTCTTGTAGTGCTGTAGAGAGAGTACGACGTATCATAGCTGCTTACTGCTTCCACCGCCAGGAGATGCCTTGAGTTTTCTTTGTGGTACGGACCTAATGTTTAAATATTATTAAGATGAGTTTCAGCTCCAAAGGGTTAATTGGCTACATAGCATCAGGTGTTGCGTGATAATTTGAGTAGCCGGCCACGAAGATCACTTGATTACGTGTCCAGGTCGACTGGATGTCACAGCGGTCGCCTTGCGTGCTTTGCTGCTTAACCAATTAACGAGGCGTTTCGGTGAGATTGTGTAGGCTTACAAAGACACTGTACTGTCCAATAAATGTATTTCAACACATAACACCAGCTAAGACTCAAGGACACTAAGGTATCGTCTACGTACGTAATTGAATTTATATGCCCTTTTAAACTCGTATCAAAATATAAGGATTGTTAACAGACATCCGAGAGTATTTGTTCCATCCATGTCTGTGGTTTCGAGTATAGTATTGGTAACATAAACGGAAGGTATTTGAGAACAGGGTGCTGAGGGATAATATGTGAGCTAAGAGAGGAATTGATAAATGGAGAAACTAAGAAATGTAAGTGATAGAAGCTTCATATTTGTACTCTTCTCCAAATATTACTACAGTGATCAAATAAAGGATAATAAGTTGATGGGACATGTAGCATGCAGTGGGGAGACGAGTAATATGTGCATAATTTTAATCTGAACACCAGAAGTAAACATATTAAATGATGTTAACATTGTCAGCCCGGCTGACAATTTGGAAAACAACAAATAAAAGTTTTCAGTCTTACTTTCTTGGACAAGTATTACTCCATACGCTGGAACACAGCAGAATCGATCAGACAAAATGGAACTTTAGGCAGCTTCAGTCAGTCTTGGTTTGTTAGCTTTGTTATCTCGCCGCGGGCGTGTGCCTCAACTAGCTGCCGGTAGACTGTTGTGTCGCTAGATTAATAAACTTTGTTCTAAAGCCATTCAAATTTAACTCGAGACTGGCAAAACTCATGATTTGAACACGAGACTACGGAAACGACATGCAATTTGGTAAGTTATAGATTAATAAAATCTAAGCTGTTTGTTCCTACTGGGCTACAGGAAGAGCAGTCGACGTATTCGGTGTGCTAATATATAACCAGAATCTTCACTCA